AAAACATGGCAAGATATCTTTTAGAAATCTAAAAGACATCTTTTTGTTTATATGGGACGTAGACGCCTTGAGTCGCAATATATTAGTTATCGAACCTTTATCTTTCGAGCAAGTACTGGTTTATAAACAGCTTCAAGATCCTACAATAATCAAAATACATAAACAATTAGAAAGACAGGAAAGCAATCAATACGAATTACGAAATGGCGTTGTATATAGGAAACACGACCAAAGATTATTATTCTATGTACCCGAAGCAATGACCCGTAATGTAATCCAAGCTAGTCACGACGACATAGGACACGTAGGGTTAGAAAAAACGATAAGTTTGATTACGAAAACTTATTGGTTCCCGTACATGCGTACACAAGTAAAAGAATATATTGACAACTGTCTAAAATGTCTGTCTTACTCAGTACCGTCAGGCAAAATAGAAGGAGAATTATATATTTACGATAAGGGAACTAAACCTTTCGAGACTATACATATTGATCACTACGGTCCACTCAAAAAAGAAAAAAATGGCTATACTTATATCTTTATTATCATCGATGCATTCACTAAATTTGTTATTCTATACCCAGCTAAAAGTACTACAACAAAAGAAACAATCACTCTTCTAAATCAGTACTTTCATCACTTTGGAACTTACAAACGAATAGTATCAGATAGAGGCACCTCTTTTACTTCGGAAGCATTTTCAGATTTAATGACTGACCTTAATATATTAAACATGTTAAGACAGCTACAGCTACACCAAGAAGTAATGGACAAGTCGAACGTGTCAACCGTTTTTTAAGATCAGTATTAGCCAAATTGTCGGTAGACGAACCATGGATTAATGTTTTAATGAAAGCTCAATTTTCATTGAATAACACATATCACAAAGCAATTGATACCTCCCCGAGTCTACTCTTGTTTTGGATATGAGCAACGCGGACTTATTGGTGAAAACCTAAGAACTTATTTACAAGACTGTAATAATTTAACTAATGATAGGACTCAACTTAGAAATACCGCTATTATTAAGAATCGCGAACTACAAGAATACAATAAACGTATATACGATAAAAAACACAAAAAACCACGTCAATATAAAATAGGCGATTACGTAATGATAAAAAATGTTATAACTACTCCGGGGATAAATACTAAATTGCTACCAAAATATAAGGGACCCTATGTTATAGATACTGTATTAGACAACGACCGATATATAATCTTAAGGATATACAAGGATTTCAAATTAGTCAGAAACCCTTCTCTGGTATTTTTAGTCCTGATCGCATAAAACCGTGGATCAGAATTTCCAAATCCGATTCCGAACCCGAATACGATAGTAGCGACGATCAAATAGAAACGAACATGGTCGAGGACGACCATATAATGTCAGAATGGCCGAACTGTGAAGCGTCGTCTACAATAACCGGCGTAAGCGTGGAGTAAGAAGTAAGAGCAGGCGTAAGAGAGCTACTTCCGGTTTAATAGAGCTGGAGTAAGGGCGTAAGCGAAATGAATTATTTTTATTTCTTACGCCTACTCTTACTCTTACGCCTTTTCACGCATGCCTACACAACACCTACTTCACCGTATTGTAGATTGAGTCGGCGTAAACCTTACGCCAAAAACGTTACTCCTACTCTTACTTCTTACTCCACGCTTACGCCGGTTATTGTAGACGACGCTTGAGACTTATTAGATTAAGTATGTGTGAGACTTATTAGATTAAGTATGCGTTATATTTTATTTCAGTTTATATTGTGAGATTTGTTATTAGATTAAGCATGCGTTATATTTTATTTCGGTTTATATCCTTTTATCGACAGCCATAGTAATTATAAGTTTATGTTCATGCGCATGCGCATAACCGAGCGCGATCAAGCCGAGAGGAAGGAGAAAGACTTCCGCCCGCCATATTACGTGTTAGCTGTACGTTAAAGCTGCATTAAAGTTCTTCCGTTCCGTCCAGTTGTACCCCGCTTGTTTCTGTTGCTGGCCCCTATCCTCGGTCAATCCCTTACAATACAAAAGATTTATGAAAACGCATTGAGAACATATATATTTGTTGTGTAGTTAAGGATGTATTACGTATACCTTCCCAGCAAAAAATACAGTAATCTTAAAAATTCAATATATATCGGTTGTATGCATACTTTAACGGCTGGCTAATATTGAATATTATAACAAAGATGTTAATGTCACTGATTTAAATAACTTCAACCTCTTTTTATAATTATTGACAGCGTATTTATAAATATTCTTAATAGCAGTTAAAAACTTTTAGTTGTGAATTTGCCCAGAATCCAACTGCTAAAACAAAAAATCTGACATATGTAATCTGCATATAGACAGAAATAAGTGTTGGTTGTATACAGGGTGTCTGATGCAAAAGTAGCAAGATCAGGAGTACATCAAAAAGGACAGTTCTAGCAAACAAATTGTAAAAGATATATCTAAGAAGTTAATTGGGGATCCTAAAAAATATATAAATTATTATCACTTGCACGGCGCATGTTTGATGGTAAATGCATTGTTCGATATTATTCGTTCTTAGTTTGTAGAAATCAAATGTAATATAACTTTGTTACCATATTTTGTAACATTCGGCATGTTTTGACTTTTTTAATACAGCAATCTGGTGGTTTCAAAATCTCAATATCCTCCTGGCAGGAACAACCACGTGTACCATCATCAGATGAACCAGACGATGATAGCAGCGTTTTTTATAATTATATTGGTAAGTAACAATTAAATTGATAAATATTGTTAAAGAATATATGTTTCTGTTCAGAACAATTTATAATATAATTTACCATTAATTTTTAAGATCTCGAGTTTGATAAAGCCGTATATCCGATCAGAGTTTCTATATATTCTATATGAAATGTATCGTCCTGGGTATATCACTCAAATTTGGGCTCACAATTCTCAAGAAAATCGGTGGTTTCCATTATGGACTGGCAAACGTCAGAGTTCTTTACCAAATAAACCACGGCTATTTTCCCCGCCTTTGGAGTTCTGTGACTTCAAAACCAAAAGGATTAGATTAAAATTTACGTACAGTTTTCTGTATTATGAGACAAAATTAGCAGCTGTGATGCTTATCGGTACATCAAAATTAATCCTTTCTAAAAATACGGAAGGAATTTTCACTAGTATATTAAAGAATGTGAAGGGCCAACATTTGATCACTGATAATTTAACGCCTATTAATAAACATGCACACAGGGATATAAGGCGTCTCCAAGATAATTTTTCTTACTACTGTACCATTTATACGAGGTATTATAATCACTAACGTTATAAATAATATTTAACCTTTTTTTATTTCCCATAATAATGAAAGAAAATTTGTTCCAACCTGGGCAGCCACTTGCATTCGAATTATGCACGGATTAGAAAATGTTCCAAACTTTCTTTAGATAGTTCCAAGAAGCTTACACCTTGCGGTTTTTCTACGCTGCCTGTAAAGTAGTTTTTTTAAATTTATTTATTATAATAATATTTTTTTATATAAATAAAGTTACTTCATATATTGAAATTTTATATTTTATGGTTACAGGATGAAATGATACTAAAAATATTAAAGTACTTGGATATAAGGTCGTTGTGCCATATGAGCACAATGAATAAACGTCTTAATGACTTAACACGAGATGGTTCTCTGTTTAAGTGCTTGGGTAATTATTTA